AATAAAACTTTGATCTCGTCAAACTTTGATGACATACAATTTGATAGAGAGTATAGACACATCAGAGGCCGAATTTGAAAAAATTTAAACCACTGCTCAAATATGCGGAGCAGTTCAGACATGGTTGGTTCCACTTAAAATTGTATCAATTGTTTCGAGATTTTAGCCGGTGCTCAATCGGAACCGGTTATTGGTGTACCTATGGCGCGGTTTTAAATGTTTTAATTCGGCCTCAGATACATCTTTTTTATCTTGTTTCATTTTGTGCGAACTAAATTTGTCATAAAACTTCCTAAAACTGGAAACTAGTTTTATTTTTCTAATGATTTATTTTTCCGCGGAAAATATTCATGACTGCAGAAAGCTATTTTTTTGGTTAATTTAGTACCTTAATCAATTCTTGATAAAAGATGGTTTATAAAATGTTATTCTATTCATGTGTACCTGGATTTTCTTTAATGAAACTGCGAACGCGTGCATGATCGTTATCTTTTTAGGTCGAAATACCTAATTGGTAATTTAAACTCGGTGATCCAAATTGTGCTGGATCTAACACAAAATTATTTCAGCATTTTCCCATCACTTTTCCCATCACTTTTTCCATCACTTTTCCCATCACTTTTCCCATCACTTTTCCCATCACTTTTCCCATCACTTTTCCCATTACTTTTCCCATCACTTTTTTCCCATCACTTTTCCCATCACTTTTCCCATCACTTTTCCCATCACTTTTCTTAAACCAAAGCTAAAAACCAAGCTTATTGTTGATGTAAAATGCACGTTTTAAAGGCTACTGAAATGTCTAAATGTATAATTAACAAGGTAGAACAAAAGGCCAAAGTTAAATTTATGCAGTACCCTCAACAAAACTTTCGTTGTGTACTGCAGGGGTTAGCAGTACTCTGACTAGATAAATAGTAGGGTTTATGGGAGAGTGGCAGGATCTATGTATATATTGTATAATGTATATTCAATATAGAAATATTAAACATTATTTATACAATAAATTTACCACCAATACAAATTTTTGTACAAATACAACGTACGTATATTCGATCTATGTACAATATATACACAATACATGTGCAATATATATGTATGAAAAATATATTTATGTATGCACAATCAGTAAATTTTGTATTGTGTTTTACAGAGTGTTTACACTGTGAAGAATGTACGTTGTACATGTAGTATGTACAAGTTCAATATGTATTCGATCTATGTTACAAATAAATATACAATAAATGTGCAATAAATGTGTATAAAATATATATATATATGTATGAAGAATCAGTAGAGTTTGTATTGTGTATTGAATGTACATGTAAGGATGTACGTATAAGTACAATGTTTATCCGATCTATGCACAATAGATGTGCAATCCATGTATGAAAAATATTTAAATATATAAAGTATGTCTTGTGTTTCGCGCACATCTTATATTTCAATTGTGAACATGTTTCTTTATATACATGTTGAAACAAAAACAAACAAACAAATTTCGCGGATTTAAAAAAAAATTTCGTGAATTTTAAAAATTTTCAAAAATCAAATTTTGTTGGAGGCAAATTTTTGAAAATTCGATCATTCATAAACCTTCACTGGGTCACGTAAGGTCCCACAAAAAAATTGGGTGCGATAGGTTCAGCCGTTTTGACATTTATTGGATACAAACAAAAAGACACCCAAACAAACACCCAGACACCCAAAGTATATATATAGATGACAATGCAGATATTAAATGTATTGTTTACGTAGTTCTATATTGTACATTGAAGCAACAAATATCTTTATATCTACGTTGAGTTAAATCTATTTTAAGACCAATTGAATAATATCAGATCTGAAATCTCTTGAAACTGGAATCTTTTCAGAAATTTACATTTCAAAGAAACGTCTTAAAGAATATCAACTCACTCATTGACTACTCTGCTTTGAAAGCATTGCCCCTTTGAAGATCTCAAGGATGGATACATAATGGAATGGATATACTATTAGACGTAGACAACTTTGGATATTTTTTGCGCTGGGGTGTCATGCAGTACATTAGACATTGAACCTTTCAATTACAATTTGTCTTTGATTTTTGTAAAGTTAATACTCGAAAACTACAACTACAAGTGAATCTAATATTATAAGATTTACACAATTTTTTCAATATCTCGGTCAATTCTTAAGGTACAAAAATGGCAGACCCCTTTTTTTGAAAAACAAGAAGTATTTGATACTACACATGTCTTGAGAGGCAATATTAGTTACAGTATTTCAATTCTTCTTACTCCAGGGCCCACTACTTACAAATACTCCACTCTGTTTTGGACCCTGAACTTCCCTTCTAATTTTTTTTAAGGAACAAGTTATGTTCCAATGATAAACGATAAACAGAATTGAATTTTGTTAGAGTGCAACCATAAGTACACCATGCAAAGATTTAAAAAAGTTCACTGAAACGCTAGGGTCCACTTATAGCTATATCAGCTGTGAAGCCCATCCAAAATATTACATGTACGCTGGTCCAGCCAGGTAGATAGTATAGCTATCTGTAAGCGGGCCGTGGTCTCGAGAGACCCATTTTAAAATAGAAATAAAATATAGAATCTTTTTTAAACCTGGTTCATCATTTAAATTTTACTAAGATTATTTCCTTATTGAGGTAAACGACAGTAAAAGAAAATTACGAACTAAAATGCAATTATCTTATTTTGAGTAAAATTTAATTTGTTTACAACAATGTTGACAATTTATAACATTAAATTTCTTTCTCATCTTGCAGACATAGACATTTCTTTAATTTCTTAAAACGATTATAAAATCAAATCAAATCATCTTTTCTCTATCCTTCCATCTTCTACCCGTCATTGACCTTCATCATCACTTCGTCCTCTCCATCTTTCATCTTCTCTTTGACCTTTCATATTTTTATCCATGCATTCAATCTTCTCTTCCTCCTTCCTCTTATCTCGTTGATCCATCCTCTCTCCATTCTCCATCTTGTCACCGTCATTCCATTTTCTCCCAATACTCCATCTTGTCTCCGTCCTTTCTTTTCTATTCATAGTCCATCTTGTCACCGTCATTCCATTTTCTCTCCATTCTACATCTCGTCCTCATCCTTCATTTTCTTTCCATACTCCATCTTGTCTCCGTCCTTTCTTTTCTCTCCATACTCCATCTTGTCTCCGTCATTCCATTTTCTCTCCATCCTCCATCTTGTCTCCATCCTTCACTTTCTCTCCAAACTCCACCTTGTCTCCATCCTTCATTTTCTCTCCATACTCCATCTTGTCTCCGTCATTCCATTTTCTCTCCATTCTCCATCTTATCTCCATCCTTAATTTTCTCTCAATACTCCATCTTGTCTCCATCCTTCATTTTCTCTCCATACTCCATCTTGTCTCCGTCCTTCATTTTCTCTCAATACTCCATCTTGTCTCCGTCCTTCCTTTTTTCTCCATATTCCATCTTGTCCCCGTCCTTCATTTTCACTCCATACTCCATCTTGTCCCCGTCCTTCATTTTCTCTCCATACTCCATCTTGTCTCCGTCCTTCCTTTACTATCCATACTCTATCTTGTCTCCATCCTCCATATTCTCTGTTTCCTTCCATCTTCCCGTCTTCTCCTTGTCTTTCCATCAATTCTCTTTCTTCAAGTTTCTCTCCATTTTCCGTGCATTCTTTTCTCTACAACCTTCCATCTTATCTCCGTTATTTCTCCTTTCTTGGTAATTCCTCTTGTCTCTGTCCTACCTTCTTCCCCGTCCTTCCATCTTCTCGCCATACTTTCCCTTCTCTCCCTCCTTCCCTCTACTCCCTTTACTCTCCGTCCTTCCCTGTTCTCTCCTTCCCTGTACTCTCTGTCCTTCCCTGTTCTCTCCGTCCTTCCCTGTTCTCTCTGTCCTTCCCTGTTCTCTCTGTCCTTCCCTGTTCTCTCTTTTGAGATTAGACTATTATTCGTTTGAATATCGTAATAATTGACGACGCGGAGAGAAAATTGATTCATTGCAACTACATCCAATCATAAAGCATTGAAAAAGATAGTCTACAAAGAATGTTTCATGCTAACTTGATAATCCGTTTATATATCTATTAGAATGTTTCATGCTAACTTGACAATCTGTTTATGTATCTACAAAGAATGTTTCATGCTAACTTGATAATCTGTTTATGTATCTATAAGAATGTTTCATGCTAACTTGATAATCTGTTTATGTATCTATAAGAATATTTCATGCTAACTTGATAATCTGTTTATGTATCTATAAGTCGGGGGGGGGATGGCATACCTTTCTATATTTTATTTATTAATTAAAGCAGAATACTAGGTAACCTACTATTCTGTAATGTAAAAAGAAGAAGAGATGTTTAAAGTTGTTTCACATTTTACAGGTCGTCAAACCTAGTTTTATAGCAGATTATAACACAGTCAAAACCTAGAAACTGTTTAACATATTATTTTTCTCAAATACTTTATTAATAAACAAACCATATTTTAACAGATAAATGTTTCTGTTAATATATATATATATAAAACGTATAGCCAGCCAAACGGCTGGACCGAATGTGCGTATTTTTTTTGGTGGACACTCATGGATGGCCGGGGGTGTTGTAGGCTAAAGAAATTTTTTTTTTTCCACGGGCTACGCCGGGCCCTTCAGGTAGTATTAAAAAAAATTTGTATCTTTTATTTAAATTTATTTTGTTCTTGTATCTAACTTGAACAAGGATTTGAATGACTCAATTACATTACGTAAAGGAACTGAGTTTTTGCCGCAAATTCTGATCATTTTAAAAACTAATTCTGAAAACGTATCCACCCCCCAAAGTAGGAGTTTTGAACGTCGAATTTGCGCTCAAACTCAGGATTTTACAGATCTTTAAAAAGTGTAATATGTCTCTAATGAGTCCGAAAGAAGTTTTCCCCAACACTGCATATTCAGTTCAACTACCTTACATAGCCGGTCACTCCCTTTAAGTTGAAAATATATTTTCAGACATGATCGAATGTTTTAAAGTTTTTCTTCTCATTCTTTTAAGTCAGGTAACGTATAAACAAATCTATCAGCAAATGTGTAAATAAAGAGAAAAGTCGTAGTTTTTCCTTAGATCTTTTTCATCAATTTTTGCACGATGAGCCGAAACGAATATTTAGTTTATTATGCACCTTAGTATTAATATAAGTAAAGAATTAAATTTAGTCGGGGCCGCTAATTTACATTTTACACATGGATCTCTAATTGAATTATACGATTTAAATAAACCAAATAAATAGATAGAACTTGCCGCCTTTGCAATTATATTGGTCCTGATTACAAGCATATTTTGATAACGCTTTTGTCTGTTTAGAAACCTCCACGAAATAAATCTGATCACCAATGACATCCTAAAAAGATTTCTGTCCGTTTCCTTAACAAGAAAAGTCTCAAGTGTTAAATAGAATTAGGCCGGTCTTGAAATAAAATGAGATAGAATGAATTCTTAAAAAACGATAGTTCGGAAATAATTTGCTGGTCCGTCCGTAATCCATTTTGCTCCGCTCTTGATCCACCCTTAGTCCGTTTTTGCTCAATCCTTGTTCTGTCTTAATGCTCTGTCCTTCCTTTGTCCTAGCTCCATTCCTAACTCTGTTCTTGCTTAATTCTTAATTCAGCCTAAATCTGCCCTTGCTCCGACTATTCTACATCCTTCGTCCGTTCTTACTCAATCCTTGCTTTGTCCTTGCTTCGCCCTTGCTTCGTCCTTGCTCCGTATTTGCTTTGTCCTTGCTACGTCAATGCTTTGTCCTTGCTCTGTCCTTGTGTCATGCTTGCTCCAAACCCATTATATCTTTGCAATGTTGTTGCTCCCTTCTTTCTACATATGTCCTTCCTTCGTCTTTGCTCCATCCTTGCTCTGTCCTTGCTCCATTATTTCTATGTCCTTACTCTGTCCATGCTCTTACCTTGCTCCATCCTTGCTCTGTCCTTGTTCTATTCTTGCTTCGCCCTTGCTTCGTCTTTGTTTCGTCCTTGATTTATCCTTGCTTCATCATTGCTCCGGCCTTGATCTGACCTTGCTCCGTCCTTGATCTGTAATTGCTCCATCCTTTCTCTATCCTTGATCCGTCCTTCCTCCGTCCTTGATCCGTTCTTGATCCTTAGTTGCTCCGTCCATGCTCTGTCTTTGATACTTTAATTGCGTTAAATCCATTAATTAAAGGAGTAAAGAAGTTAAAATATTTATAATTTAGGTTGTAGCATGTAAACAGTTAATTCACATACCAGGAGATATATCTCTAGGAGGTCTCTTCCCAATGCATGAACAGGTATTTTACAACGAAGGAAGGGGGGGGGGGGTTCTGACCCCACTCCCTTATTATGGAGCCTCTGTTTTTATTTTAGAATCTCTGTTTGCTTTTCCATGTAAATAAACATTTATTATTAATAATTGGTAATTTTGCGTTTTATAAAAAGCATTTATAAAATTTTGCCCAAGTGCAGCCGGTCAAAAATTAAAATGTTGTCTTAAAAAATCATTTTAAATATTGTAATTACTCTAATAAAAAACCCGTGAGATCAGTTTTGTAATGTACGAAATAAAAAATTTAAAACCACTTAAAGCTAATATTTGAGAAAACTATTGCTACGAAAAATACTGCAATTAAAAATGGCCCCCATTAATAACAAATTCAGGTTTTAAAATAATAGTGTTAAATTTTGTTTCATCCTGAATGTAATTTGAATTCTATTTAGAGTTAAGTTTCAAGAAACTATTTCAATTAAACCAAAATAAAGTTTGATAAATTCTAAGAACGTCGCGATAAGAAAACTTTGAACAGATTACAAGACAAGTTTTTGGTCTCTACTCTCTATGGATTGCCTCTTATAAACCATAATATAAGTGAAACGTAAATCGACGTTCTTTCTTTCGACACACTTTATACTTAATTTCCTTTTTTTATTTTTTGTCCGTCAACAATAAATGGCAAAGCGGTAAAACTGATATATCCCATTGGTGTTACATGACCCCCTAGGGAAGGTTTATGAACAGTCAAACTTGAAGTAGATCCTGAAAAATGTCAATATATTTTTTGGAAAATGCACCAACTAAAACAGAAAAACCCGCGATTTTTTTGAAAATTAGAGAAAATGATGACTTGGAAAGCAAAACACAAAAGTTGGAAATTGTTATTTGTTTTTTTTTAATTTTAACCGATGAAGTAAAAAAACTGAATATTTTCTTCTGTTATAATGTATAATGTCCAAAAAATGTTAGGAACGTTCAGAAATTTGAACTATACAATAATTTGATACACTTTTTCAGAATGTGACGAACAGAGAATACCCTTGTGGAGAAATTAAGCAAGAAAAAGGAATTCAGGTCAAATTCTGAATAAAATCAGACAATACTAATATGGGGACCTGCATTTAAATTTCTGCTTAAAAAGACAATTTGCCAATTTAAATTTTACAAAATTACGAATTTTTTTCCCGATCTGTCTTTCAAAGTCAAAAATCGGATTAGATTTAAAAGAAGTTCCTGGACAAAAGGCAGAAACATTCCCGTAGAAAGCACCATTACATTGTTTAATGTAAAAAAGTCGTTTAATTTGTCTAAAATTTGAAATTAATGGAGCGAAATGATTGATTTTCCAAAAATTGGAAAAACTGTAAAAATATCAACTCTTAGAAGAAAAGTACAAAGAGGGGAGAAGGCGAGTAATAGAGGGTATGGGGAATAAAAGAGGGAGTAATAAAGGGGAAGGGGAGTAAAAGAGGGGAGGGGAGTAAGGGAAGGGAGGGGAGGGGGAGTAAAAGAGGACTGGGTGAGTATAAGTAGGGAGGGAGAGTAAAGGACGGGAGGGGAATTAAAAGAGGGGAGTGGGAGTAAAAGAGAGGGGGGGGGAGTAAAGGAGGGCAGGGGAATAAAAGAGGGGAGGGATAGTGAAGAAGGGTAGTGGTAGTAAAGGAGGGGAGGGAGTAAAGAGGGAAGGGGAATTAAAAGTGAAGAAAGGGAGGAAGTAAAAGCGGAGAAAGAGTGTAAAAGCGGCGAGAAGGAGTAACAGAGAGATGGGAGAGTAATATAGGAACGGGGTAGTAAATGAGGAGAGGAGAGTAATGTAGAAACGGGGGAGTAAATGAGGAGCGGGGGAGTAGTATAGGAACGGGAGAGTAATGAGGAACTGGGGAGTAAATGAGGAGCGGGGAAGTAATGTAGGAACGGGGGAGTAAATGAGGAGGCGGGGAGTAATGTAGGAACGTGGGAGTAAATGAGGAGCGGGGGAGTAATATACGAACCGGGGAGTAAATGGCGAGCGGGGAGTAATATATGAACGGGGGAGTAAATGAGGAGCGGGAAAGTAATGTAGGAACGGGGGAGTAAATGAGGAGGCGGGGGAGTAATGTAGGAACATAGGACTAAATGAGTAAATTAGGGTAGGGGGAATAATAAACGAAGGGAGGATGAGTAAACGCCGAAAAGGTTAGAAAAGTTAGAGGGGGCGTAAAACAAGGGGGGATAACAGGGGAGAAGACCTATTGATGGGGAAGCAGTAAAAGATAGGAAAGGGAGCAACAAGGAAAAGTAATACTCACTGTTATCAATAGATTTGAAATAAGAAAATAATAGACTATGGAGAAGAAATAACTGTGAAAGGGCTCCACTGGGAATTACTTATATATAATAGTATATATGTAAAGGTATCTCTATATTTAAATATATCATAAATTGTATTATATATTGCGCACATTCATACAATAAAATATATTCGATAATACAATGTCCGAACCAAAAAATCACCAAAATAACTTTGTTTCAGAGACTTGAAGCTATGTTGTATGCTCTCGATGAAATCAATGCGTCTCCCCACCTCCTGCCTAATATTAGGTAAATGTTTCCCCCCACCTTCTTCCTAATCTCAGGTAAATGCGTTCCTCCCACCTCCTGCCTAATATTAGGTAAATGTTTCCCCCCACCTCCTGCCTAATATTAGGTAAATGTTTCCCCCCACCTCCTGCCTAATATTAGGTAAATGTTTCCCCCCACCTCCTTCCTAATCTCAGGTAAATGTTTCCCCCCACCTCCTGCCTAATCTCAGGTAAATGCGTTCCTCCCACCTCCTGCCTAATATTAGGTAAATGTTTCCCCCCACCTCCTGCCTAATCTCAGGTAAATGCGTCCCTCCCACATCTATCCTAACAGATTTTTTACCTGTAAGGAATTGGAATTAAAAGGATTTTCCACAAATTTTTCTCTTAATGCATATGGTAGAAAAAATGGCGGTTAAAAAGTCCGATCCGTGTTTTAAAAAAAAATCTAAAATAGTATATAACTTTTTTGTGACAAAAGTTACAGATTTAAAAACTACATTTTTGAAAAGCCCTTGAAAAATGTATGTATGAGACCTGTGTTACATCTCAATATTTGTCAATAACAAAACACATTTTTTACATTTTACGACCCTTTTTTTGACATTGTTTTAAATTTTCTAAACCACAAACTAATATGGTTGGGGGTCTCTTTTTTCAAAGAACTGGCCCTGATAAGTTGTGCTATGAACATACATTGCAACTAGGGTTTCCAGCGAAAAGAAAAAATCTTTTCGCAAAAATTCCGCATTTTTCGCGACAATTTTGCTTCATTTTCGCATTTCGTTTGCTCGCGAATAATGGGAAAATGTTTGTTTTTTTTCGCGGAATTTCGCTTCAATATGTTTGGCGAAATAATGAAAAAATTTCGTGAAAAAAATAATGCGAAAATTTCGCATATATTATTGCGAAATTTGGCTTCGTTTTCCCTTCATTAATTTTCACGAAAAAATGAAAAAGTTCTCGAAAAAGTTTACGAAATGTGACCAAAAGTTTTTGCAATTTTTCGCGAAACGTTTCGTTCGCTGGAAACCCTAATTACAACACTACACTTTTTCAGTATACAGTACACATACAGTACAAGATTAGGTTAGTCTCGATCAAGGAGAATTGAATACAAGGAGGGGGAAATAGGGTTTCCGTACACTTTGCTGTGACATTTTTGGACTGCTGAAGAACTAGTTTTTGCGTAACAACAATGACAAAGGCAGCCGATCTAATGCATGGGTACTGGAATAGGGTAAGGTAGTCATACAATTCTAGCTTCTGTATCTTCTAATGTAAACAAACAAGAAAAAGAGAGGATCAATTAATGTTTGATCCTTTCTTTTTCTTAATATCGAGACTAACCTAATCTTATAATTGTATCCTGAAAAGTGTATAAAATTCAACCAATCAGAGTCGCGTATTTTGAAGCCGATAAATTTGAAATTTTGCGCGCCATTTAAGATTAATATACAGAAAAGGGAGGGACTCTCTAATTTAAAAAAACCGGGCTTTTTTATTTTTCTCTACTATATCCAAGAAAGGACGGTTTTAGAAGGAAATCAAAAGTTTGTCCATTGGATACACAGATTAAGCGATCAGGATTAAGGATATCTCATTCTAAAGTTTTCAGCTCTGGTCTTACAATTGAAATTAACTTTACAATTTCAATGATCACGAAAAACATTACTATCTTCATTTTTGCTGAGATGAAGGTTGCGTTGACAGTTTTACCAGTAAAATGAGGATATTTGACCGGCCCGAGAAGTCAACACAATTTCTGTTTCATTACTAAACGTAGATTAGAAACTAAGGGAGGGGGACTTGTCATTAATGTTTATTTGGACAGTTTAAACTTTGTATAAACATGTTAGATACACTACACAGGTTCCCAGGTAACAATTTTGTGGAAAATCCGCAGAAATTCTAAGGAATCTTTCCAGGAATACGCTGAATTTCCCAAAAATCTACCAAGAAAAAATCCAGTGAAAATGTCGACAAAAATTGGAGATTTTCTCGAGATTTCCAGGGAAAGATTCTCCATTGAGAAATTCCTGGGTTGAACACCGTAAAGTGGCAAGGGTTTGGCCGGGGCCAGAGATTTTCTTGCTATTATTTCTCGGGAAAAAATCAGAACCAATTCCCAGGAATTCTTGTAACCAATTTTGAAGAAATTCTAATAGTCCATTCTGGGGAGTTTCGCTTAACCCGTTCCGACGAAATTCTTGTAGCCCATTCTGGAGAATAACTTGAGAAAATGTTGATTAATTTTGGGGAAATTCATGGAAATTTCCATAGAAAAGTTCTTCAGAACAAAATTTCTGGGAATTTCCTAGGAACTTTTCCACAGAAATGTTCTCTACAAGGTTCCTTAGGAATATCTTGAGATATTTTCAGCATATTTCTGATGAATTAACTAACCAGGACTTAGGCCCAAAAGTAGTGAATACTGAACATCTTATTATTAAGTATGCTAAAATTCATGAAATCAACAACATAAACAAGAATACAAAGAGAAACTGCCCATTTCCAGCTTTTTTTGTAATTATTTTGTAATGTAATTTTGTTAGAAATCAAAACTTAAAAAGAAAAGTCGTCCTCATTGTATTGATATAAACGCCTGCCACTGTACTACGAATTCTGTTAGATCAAATAAATAAGTTTGAAATATAAAAGGTTTATATCCCCAGGCTGCAAAGATGTAGGGATATGAAAGGAATTTAGTTTTGGTCACAAACTCAAATTTTCTAATCTCTGTATATTTGCAACCTGATGGTGTTATTCTTTGATATTTCAAACTTAGATTATTTGAACTGACAGAATTCATTAGTTTGAAATATTTAAAGTCTACGACACTGGGCTGCAAAGAAATAGGGATTAAAAATCAGAGTTTGTGACAAAGACTCAATTCCTGTTGAGATTGTGAATATAAGAATCTACTCCTGTTCAGAAAAAACCTTATAAACTTTATTTTCTTCTTTATAAAAGAGGTAAAAGGTACTTTAGCGAATTATTGCTCAAAAAAACTTAATATAGAAAACTATTTTTTAAAATCTAACTTTATTTTTTTTATATTTTAGGCTCGGAGCTCTGATTCTTGACACATGCAGTAACCCTAGCTACGCTTTGGAACAGGAATTAATTCAAATAGTATTTTTTTTATCCGCCCCCCTCCAAAACTATTCTATCCGCCCCCCTCCACAACTATTCTATCCGCCCCCCCCCCCCTCCACAACGTCTCTCTTCCTATCTACTCTTTTTTTATATTTTAAATCGTATTGTTGTAAATCAAATCAACTCCATTGAAACATTTATTTATGATTGATCATCATTTACATAAGATGTTGAACTTTTATCATACATAAAACGATAATTTGGAGAAAATTAACGATAATTACTTATAAAGTTTGTATTTGGTAAACAGCAATTTTCAATAGAATCAACCTTAGGGAGTTTAAATTTCCATTGTTCTAATTTTGCTCAAAAATAGATTGATCAAAATGAATCCGTGGAAATTTGTTTAATTGTCAAAGATATTTCCCAATAAAGTTTCCTAGAGGAAAAATCTAAATTTTAAATTTCAGATTTTTATTTTTACTCAAATTAAGAAATCCTTATATATTTGCAACCTGACGGCGTAAACCTTAGATAATGATCCAACTTATCTGTTATCTAACAGGACTCATAGTTTGAAATATCAAAGGTCAACGACATATGGATACAACAATTTTTTTAATATTCTTAACTTTTAAAAGAAATTGAATAAATGTTAAGGCTATGGAGTTTGTTAAGGCACATATGTCATCTGGAAATGAAACTAACGTAAGTACCTTTTTATATTTACAAGCGTGGGAACCCAGCGTTGTCCAGGTTACTAATTGTTACTTCCGCCGTTTACCCGCACTTAGACTCTTGAAACCAAGATAAAAGCTTTCCAAAAATTTTCCTGAGTTCCCCACTTAAAATTTGAGGCAAATCGGTCCAGGAGTTATAATCTGACAAACAAATGTACAGACAAATATAGTGAAGATAGATAGATAGCACACTATCGCTATTGGTCAAAAAATCGCGCTTGTGTTTTATTGGATAAAAATCCTAATGGACGGGTGAAACTAGGGTGGTCTGGAGAGAATTAACTAATTGATTAATTATATGTAACAGTAATTGATTGATTAATTATATGTAACAGTAATTGATTAATTAATTATATGTAACAGTAATTGATTGATTAATTGTATGTAACAGTAGTTGATTGATTAATAATATGCAACAGTAATTGATTGATTAATAATATGTAACAGTAATTGATTGATTAATAATATGTAACAGTAATTGATTGATTAATAATGTATGTAACAGTAATTGATTGATTAATAATATGTAACAGTAATTGATTGATTAATAATATGTAACAGTAATTGATTGATTAATAATATGTAACAGTAATTGATTGATTAATAAAATGTAAACAGTATGCAGTAAGTGTGTGATTTATAATTCAATTGATTGATTGTAACAGTAAATACCCTATTTTTAGTTTAACATCATTAACAACTAAAGTTATTTGAATCTATATAAGGCTTTGCTTGACTGGCTGTTTGTTTGTATCCAATAAACGTAAAACCGGCTAAGCCGATCGGGTCCAAATTTTGTGTTGGACCTCGCATGACCCCAGGGAAGGTTTATAGATGCTCAGAATTACAAAAGCTTGTGCGAAAAAATATTGAAAAATTAGCCAACTTTTTTGTTATTAAAAGTTAAAATAGTGAATGGGCACGAAGCGTCTCAAAAGCTTTATAAAGTATAAAAGATGGAGATATCATTAATCGTTTTTATGAAATATTTTTTTGTATCCAGAAAAATTTTTACCGTCAAAAGTTGCTCATTTCCTTTTTTCTAGTCAAATGATGATGGAAAGGTAATACCCCCCCCCCCCCCCCNCCCCCCCCCCCGGGCCATACTCTGAGTTTCCCATTTCATATTGGAAGGAAATTGATTTTCTTTCCCTGTAGGACACAAAGGGCAAATTCAAATTTTAAAATCTCTCAGAAGATTTGCAACTTAATTTTTTATCCTTTTGATATTATCAGAAAATATTATGTTTATTTTATTATTTTTACAGATTTGCAATATAACTAGGGTTTCCAATTGAAATTATTTGCACAAAAATCGTGCAATAATTGCAAAAAGATTTTCTTCCGTTTCGAGTAAAAATTGCACAATGGAGGTAGTAAAACTGTTGAGGAACCTAATTGTGCAAACTAATTGCAAAATTTTCATTCAAAACTTTTGCCATCATTTTCTTTAAGTCAAAGACTTATAAATTTCCAAAGATCTATAAAATGCTAACATACTTTATATGAACTTAGTCTAGTTTAGGGTAACGAATGTCTTTGGTTAGTAAGTATAAAGGCATGCATTGCTTCAAGCCCTTTGTCAGGGAATGTATTATTAGGAAAAGCGGTAATTTTAAAAACGGTGGCCCAGCCCTTTGATGAAATCTAATAATCTAATTACAGAAAATAACGTGTAGGATATGTAATTAGATATTGCGAATGTCCCTGGAGTCCTTTTTGTCTCCTTTCTTTCTCCAGCTCCAACTTGTAATTAGATTTCACACTCACAAATTCTCTGCACTGAGACTACTGTTATTTGACGAAAGCTTATCTATTCTCAATAGCACTCTCTCTCTCATTGATATACTCATAGAACTATATGTATATTTGCGTACAGAGGCATAGTCAGGGGGGGCTATAGGGGCTTATCCCCCCCCATGGATTTCAGGCCGGGTTTTCAGGCCCCGACGGGTGCTGAGCCCCCCCCCCTTGGAAAGAAAGAAAAAATGTAAGCCCCCCCCCCTGTAAAAATTCCTGACTACGCCCCTGATTGGTACCACCCCGGTCTAGACATTGGGAATAATTTACTAAAATTTGTACCGGAATGGCCAGGCCTAAAGGGAATTATTTTTCCCTAGTTTTGAGAGATGCCTATGTCTATGATTATGAGTCATATACGAAAGCTTATAGCTTTCGTTGCAATATCACTACTTTGGAACATTTTTAACAGTGTGTAAAGTAAACCTTATTACCCATGCTTTACTGCTAGTATTTAACCAAAAATGTATTGGTGCAAATTTTGAACATTTAAATCTTGGTCCCAAAATTCATGTTGCTATTGGTGCAAACCTTGTACACCCAATAATTTACACTCAATTTACACTTTGCGTTTTTGAGATTCCACTAAAAATCCCTACCTTCAACTTTCCAAGATCCTTAATTTTTCAATTTACATCGTAGGCCACTTTCAATCCTTGCTTAATCATAATTAAATATAAATTTTAGAATTATGCATTTCTAAGATTTTCGTAAATTTTTTTAATCGATTTAAGAAAATTTGCAAAGTAAACCCTATAAAGGCTTGGGGAGTCTGAATCTATGTACAGCCTGGGGGGGGCGTTTGGCGTCCCTCCCTCCTCTAGAAAAGGGCCTTAGAGATTAGGTATAGGGTTGAACTACATGTTTATAGCCAAATTTTTCATGGCAGCTCAAAGAAAAAAAATTAGACCGATAACTTTGATAGTTTGGGTGCTAGGGAGGGTGGAAAAAATGCCATATAAAGGGTAAAAAAAATGAAAACATATATTTTTTTTTAAAACAAATATCACAGTGTTACACATGTTTCTACATGCATTTTTCAGGGGCTTTTCAAAAATATAGTTTTTAGGTCTGTAGCTTTAGTCAAAAAAAAGTTATGGGCTATTTTAGATTTATTTTTTCACAGACCGGACTTTTTTCCACCCTGTACCCTACTCCATAAATAAAAAAAAAAACATTTTTTTAACAAATAATCCTTTAAATTACTATTGATTAAAAGTCACAAATTTTCACGGTGATAGTGTCAAAAATGAGAGTGCTAGGACAAAAAAAAACTACAGGGGGGCGTTTAGGGTTAAGTGACTTGTGGCATCATTCATTTACAATGTGACACTTTATATTTGCTGTGTGACAGTTCATATTTGTTCTATGAAAATTTACTTTGCAAGTTGTGACCATTTGTCTGAGATGATATTTTATTAGTATTTTACCGTCTTGAAGTATGAGGAAGGGAAATTATTAACTTCCTCTTCTCATTCATCCATTTCCAGAGAAATAAACAGAATTTTTTTGTATCATATTTCTAATCAATTATGTGAAAATTTTTCAATTATTTCAATTTATCAATAATTAGATTCCTACAAATAGTCTACCTCCAAACTCTTGTATATCCTTATTAATGTAAAAATGTTATATATAGTCTAGTTCTTTGCTCTTGAATATCCAATATTAATATAAATATGTTATAAAGTCTAGTTCTATGCTCTTGTATATCCTTATTAATGTAAATATGTTACATTTAGTCTAGCTCTATGCTCTTGTATATCCTTATTAATGTAAAAATGTTATATATAGTCTCGTTCTTTGCTCTTGAATATCCAATATTAATATAAATATGTTATATAGTCTAGTTCTATGCTCTTGAATATCCAATATTAATATAAATATGTTATATAGTCTAGTTCTATGCTCTTGTATATCCAATATTAATATAAATATGTTATACTAGAAATTCAAGGCGCTTCGCGCCCTTCTTTCTAGACTTAGAGGGCGCTTCGCGCCCATCTTCTAAATTAATTGTGAACATGTTCTCTTTGTGTTTTTCGTATAAAAAAAAACAAAAATAATTTGCGGATTTTTACAAAAAAGTTCGCGGATTTTCAAAATTTTTAAAAATTTAATGACGACGATCGAATTTTGATAGAGACAAATATTTGCAATTTTGATTTTTCATAAACCTTCCCTGGGGTCCCTAGATGTCCCACAAAAAGTTTGGGCCCGATCAGTTCAGCCGTTTTGACGTTTATTGGATACAAACAAACAAACAAACAGACACCCAGACAAGCCAAATTTATATATAGATAATCTAGCTTTAAGCTCTTGAATATCCAATTATATTAATATTGGCTTTTAGGGCGCTTCGCGCCGATCTCCTATTTTAATTGTGAACATGTTCTTTTTGTTTGTTTGTATCCAATAAACGTCAAAACGGCTGAACCGATCGGGCCCAAATTTTTTGTGGGACATCTAGGGACCCCATGGAAGGTTTATGAATGATTGAAATTTTAAAAATTTGTGTTTTAAAGGTTTTTAATTTTAAAATCCGCAAAAAATTTTTCATCGTTGTTTTGAAATGTAAACAAAAAGAACATGTTCACAATTAAAATAGAAGATCGGCGCGAAGCGCCCTAAAAGACTAGCAAGAAGGGCGCGAAGCGCCTTGAATTTCTAGTATTAATATAAATATGTTGTATAGTCTAGCTTTAAGCTCTTGAATAGCCAATATTAATATATATAATCTAGCTCCAAGCACTTGAATATTCCAATATGATATATGCAGTCTAGCATATCATGAATATCCAATATTAATATAAATATGTTATATATTCTAGTTCTATGCTCTTGTTTATCCAATATTAATATAAATATGTTATATAGTCTAGTTCTATGCTCTTGTATATCCAATATTAATATAAATATGTTATATAATCTAGCTTTAAGCTCTTGAATATCCAATATTAATATAAATATGTTATATAATCTAGCTCCAAGCTCTTGAATATTCCAATATGATATATGCAGTCTAGCATATCTTGAATATCCAATATTAATAAAATATGATATATGCAGTCTAGCATATCATGAATATCCAATATTAATATATATATGTTATATAGTCTAGCTTTAAGCTCTTGAATTGCCAATATTAATATATATAATCTAGCTCCAAGCTCTTGAAATTCCAATATGATATATGCAGTCTAGCATATCATGAATATCCAATATTAATATAAATATGTTATATAGTCTAGCTTTAAGCTCTTGAATAGCCAATATTAATATATATAATCTAGCTCCAAGCTCTTGAATATTCCAATATGATATATGCAGTCTAGCATATCATGAATATCAAATATTAATATATATATGTTATATAGTCTAGCTCCAAGTGCCCTGAAGAAGTTGATGACCTATTGGAGCGTATTCCAGTGGCTGGAGTTATTGGAGCTTCCTTTAGTGGAGTTTCTATCATGGTTGCAAACATACTTAAACTGTTCCAGGTATAACAAGTTTAATTAAAACATACTTAAACTGTACCAGGTATAACAAGTTTAATGAAAACATACTTTAACTTACCAGGTATAACAAGTTTAATGAAAACATACTTAAACTGTTCCAGGTAAAACAAGTTTAATGAAAACATACTTAAACTGTTCCAGGTATTACAAGTTTAATGAAAACATACTTAAACTGTTCCAGGTATAACAAGTTTAATGAAAACATACTTAAACTTTTCCAGGTATAACAAGTTTAATGAAAACATACTTAAACTGTTCCAGGTATAACAAGTTTAAGGAAAACATACTTAAACTGTTCCAGGTATAACAAGTTTAAGGAAAACATACTTAAACTGTTCCAGGTATAACAAGTTTAAGGAAAACATACTTAAACTGTTCCAGGTATAACAAGTTTAAGGAAACATACTTAAACTGTTCCAGGTATAACAAGTTTAATGAAAACATACTTAAACTGTTCCAGGTATAACAAGTTTAATGAAAACATATTTAAACTGTTCCAGGTATAACAAGTTTAAGAAAAACATACTTAAACTGTTCCAGGTATAACAAGTTTAAGAAGAAACATTCAATTAAACTGTTCCAGGTATAACAAGTTTAATGCAAACATACTTAAACTGTTCCAGGTATAAAAAGTTTAATGAAAACATTCAATTAAACTCTTCCAGTTATAACAAATTTAATGAAAACATTCAATTAAACTGTTCCAGGTAGTATAACAAGTTTAATGAAAACATTCAATTAAACTGTTCCAGGTATAACAAGTTTAATGAAAACATTCAATTAAACTGTTCCAGGTATAACAAGTTTAATGAAAACATTCAATTAAACTGTTCCAGGTATAACAAGTTTAAGGTCAACATACTTAAACTGATCCAGGTATACCAAGTCTAATGAAAACATACTTAAACTGTTCCAGGTATAACAAGTGTAATAAAACATATTTAAAGGGAGTGTTCGCGAAAAATGAAAGGGGCTTAATGCGATAAGAAAGCGCTTTTGATCGCCAATAATTTTACTTCTATCTGTTGCATCTATAAGGAGAAAATTGTTAAAGACGTTTAATACCGAAGAACTTAGCGCCCCTACAAATTCAGAATATTGCAACATACGACTTAGACCGTAAAAAATCAATTTAATTTCAAACAAATCATTCAGATATTACAACCTATAGTCATCGATTATCTTTCGCCACATTTGTATATGTATGACAGATATAAAAAGTGTTTGCCATTATCAGAACCATCATAAAAAGTGTTAAAGGGACTGAAAAAAGAAATTTTAATTGGCTATGCATTGGTAGAGTATCATGGAAAACTTTTTCTGTCAATTATTCTAAGTTTAAAATTAATTTTAAAGGGAGTGACCGGCTATGTAAGGTAGTTGAACTGAGTATGCAGTGTTGTGGTAAACTTTTTTCAGATTCATTTGAGGCATATTAAACTTTTTAAAGATTTGTAAATTCTGAGTTTGAGCGCAAATTCGACGTTCAAAACTCCTTCTTTGGGGATGGATACGTTTTCAGAATTATTTTTATAAATTATAAAATAACGACAACGAAAAATAAAGTAAAAATTATACAGTAAACTAATTAGATGGTTTCTCAAAAGAAATTTGTCAATAAATCAATGTTTAAATCGATTATTTCGTTTTCATTATTATAATGATTTTCTTGTTTTCTTTGAATTTATTCGCAGATTTCTTCAAATTCTTCAAATGTCGTCTTTTTAATAATAATTCTAGAAAATCTGCGAACATCTTTGTGAATAATGAGATACCAGAATAATGAGAAAATAGAAACTAATAATTGAAAAAGATTACCTATTTTCGATGATAAGATTAATTCTTATTTTCTCCACATGTGCCTACACAAGACGTCTGTAGTTTATTGTAGATTTTTTTTTACATTTTACCTCGTCGCTATTTAATAATTTAAAAAACTAATTCTGAAAACGTATCCACCCCCAAAATAGGAGTTTTGAACGTCGAATTTGCGCTCACACTTAAGATTTACAGATCTTTAAAATGTATAATATGTCTCAAATGAATCCGAAAGAAGTTTTCCACAACACTGCATACTCATTTCAACTACCTTACATAGCCGGTCACTCCCTTTAAGCAAAACAATAAATGAACGGGACTTTTCCCTCTGTTTCGCTTTTATTTACTGCAGATCTGTGTCCTATTAATTGTTATATATTACATGTATTTACCGAATCTAATTAATTAATTGTTAACATTGTTAATTAATGATTAGATTAACATATTCATTCTTCCTATTTAGATTCCGCAGATTAGCTACGCTTCAACTTCACTTGAACTTTCAGATAAATCAAGGTAATATATTTATACTTTGCTTGTCCGTTTGTATCCAATAAACGTCAAAACGGCTGAACCGATCCAGTCAAATTTTTTGTGGGACCTCACATGACTCTAGTAAAGGTTTGTGAACGCTTTGAAGTTCAAAATTTGTCTCCAAAAATGTCTGATTATTGGGAAATTTTGAAAATCCTCGAAAAAACTGATTAAATATCAATAATAACATCATAATGCAACTTGATTAGAATATTTGAGTTTGTGGCAAAGACTTTATTCGTTTATCAATCATTATAAAATATTTTCCCACTAAATATTTGACACTCCTGAACCTTAGTAAATCGATTACTTTCTAGATTCGAATATTTCACAAGAGTAGTTCCTCCAGACAACTACCAGGTGTTTAGTAATAATAGTAATAATTGTAACAATAAGTATATTATAATAATTAAGCACAATAACAATAACAATATCAATAACACTAACAATAACAATAATAATACTATTGATAATAGTAATAGTAATAATAATAATGTTAAAAATAACAATAATAGAAATAATAATAATAATTTTAATAATAATAATAATAATAATAAAGAAAATAGTAATAATGATAATAATAATCTAGGCCCAAGCAATGATGGAGATTGTGAAAAGATTGGGCTGGACCTACGTTAGTACAGTTGCTGCTGAGGTACATTACAGTACAGTGCAGTACAGTACTGTACAGTGCAGTACAGTACAATGCAGTACAGTACAGTTGAGTACAATTGAGTACAGTACCGTCAGTTTTGTACAATACACTACATTGCATTGAGTTACATTACAGTATTTTACAGTACATTACAGTACAGTATCGCATCATTTAAACTTTGAATAAAGGGAAAGAATAACAAGGTTTTTTAATGAACTAAAAGCTGAAAGCCTATTTTTAATTTTCCCTCTGAAGCTTAAAAATCATTTTTATAAATTCAAACCTTAAGTAAAAGGATTGCACTTAACTCAGTTAAATTTCTTCAAGGAAAGATGCAACAAATCGAAAGAACAATACTTTTCCAGAATTATTCCTTTTTATGTTGTTAAACCAATAATTTTAAACCTTGCAATTATTGGATTTCAATACACTGCAGGCAGCAGAGTCAAAAAAGAAAACTTATAAAAATTTTCTAAAAAATACAAATTCTGAAATTTCTAAAAAAAAGTTGCTTTTCGCTGGGAACTCTTGTATTGTGGATACCGAGATCAATTCTTGATCTCAATCTTTTGTTAATCTGCGGATTAATTTATTCTTTATTTGATATTCCACATAGTAATGGTCCACGGAGGAATGACTGAAATGAAGAGATTATGAATTGATCTTCAAAACAAAAGTGTCCACTTTGGATATTAAGATCAAATGATCGTGATTATGAGAATCCAACATTAAAGTTCCCAGCGTAGACCATATAGAATATTACTTACGACAAAAAAGATAAATGTCCCACTCATTTTTACACAGTTAGAAATTGTATTTAAGCAAATATTAATAAAATTGTTAATATATATATATTATATATTTTATAAATATAAATATATTTATATATATAGAGGGGAAGAGCTTTATTAATTAGATGAAAGCCATTTTCAGTATAATGTTAATTAAGTTAATAATTTAATTAATAAAGCTTAAGTACAAATTCTAACTGTGAAAAAAAATGTGGGACATTTTACTTTTTTGTTGTATGTAATATATATATTTATATGTATATATATTACATATATATA